TTTTTAGCGGGAATTACGGCAGTGTACGCTTGGGCACGCGCCATACTTGATCCGCTTAATCCATTGGATCTACTTTTTACTTCGCTATTGGTCAAATCATGAAACTGACCAGTAGCGAAGTGGATCAAGTGGACATCCGTTTCGCTATTGATCAGTTCGCAGATCTGAACAATAGGCGAACTGGACGAAGCGGATCAAGTTCGCGCGTTAAGCGGCATAGTTTTGCGCATAAAATTGCAGGCGCTATCACAAACGAAAAGTGCAGGGGTCTGCGAATTTGATGACTTCATTTGCAGGCTAATTTCTCAAAGATCGAGGAAATGAGCACCGGTGCAGCCTACTGTCAGCTCACTCACTTGCTTTTTCGCGACTCTATCAATCTGCGCAAGGTTGATAAGCGATTGTTATTTTGTTTAAGTTTTTGTTGAGTGCTGACTTTCTAGGTGAAGTGGAACAGTCGTAATGAAATGGACCATATCAGCAATTGGAAAATACTAGGTACCGCATGGAAAGCCCTCGGAGTGGATAAGGTATCTATTTTTTTGTTGATTGCTAAGACTTAGATGTTTTCGCAGTGTCGAAAGTTGTAACTGATTGATGGCAAGTGTTCCTGCGGCTTAGTTTTTTTCGCCATTCGCACACATCAGCTGGCGCAGTAGGCACTTTTCCATAAATGTTTGATCAATTTTTACACTCAGAAGGCTAACAGCGGTTTTTTAAACGGCTGCGAAGCTTCTGAAAAAAGTCTCAGTAATCCATTTTTTACAAAAATTTCAAAAGCTAGCCCCTCATTTACAAACGAAAACAAGTCACTTGTGTAATTTCATAACTCATGTGAATAAGCTGCAAATATTTCGGGAGAATCCTCTATCTAGCGCTTCATTTAGCCCTTGTGTTTATCGAATTCGTTTTGAGGGAGTTGCGGTATACTACCCGTGGCCATTCAACCAATGAGTCAGTGTTATGGTAAATGTCACGCTGAGCGTGCTGAAATATATGCGCGATTTTCTTCATTAGTCAGAGGTTGATTGTTTGGCATGCCGAGTTGAAACTTTGTCTTTGACCGGCTACAATTTTTTTGCGCTTATCTGCTTTACAGTACATGCCAATTTATGATGCTTTTTTGTCTCCAAATTGTAGTCTCTATAGTTCTTACTTTGGATTTTAGTGTCATAAATTTATCCATATTGTAGCATTTCTTGTCACGTTCACTTTTTAGCCTGTGCCCGTTGAAAAACTGACAAAAGCCAAGTTTCAAGACAATTTCGAGTTTCTCCAATGGTTTTTCAAGTTCTTCAACGCAAACTACGTTGATGAAGGAGAGGAATATGACGCAGTATCTGCTCGTGGTGGTGAGGTGAGAGTTGCTTTTACTGTGAAACGATGACATCATATTAGCATGAGAACCACATTATCTTAACTCTTTTGGACCATCAGGTCCACCATCATCTTTAAAGTCGCTTCTTCATTCGTTTTCCTGTCGCAGCATAACATTTTTACGTAAAAGTTGACTGCGACCAATCAATATATGAGGGCTTGAGCACGTATCAGCAATATCGTTTGTTAGCCAAATATTCATAATATTATCCGAATGTTTGAGTACGATATAACAAGACTAATTGCTGACTTTCCGCGGGCCCACATGTAGTGAGGAAGATTTGAAAATCAAAAATAAACGCAAAATCAAAAAATTGAGAAATCAAAAAGAAATGGTTAATGTGGTTGGAAAAACTTCGATTTCGCTATAATGTTATTCATACGGTAGTAAGTAAAAAACGATAGGAGTGAGGTATCTTTGCTTACTCGGAAGAATTCAGGTCCGAAGAAGTTAAACTTTATCTAGTGATGAAGGCACTGCCTTTCTTGCACGTATATTGCTTACGCAAGTTTTCTGCGCTAGTATGGTGAAGAGTTACGAGAAACTAACCTACGCAGTTCTGTTGATGCTAATGCAGTTGCTACTCACACCAACATAGGAAAGACGCATTCGCCCAACCACCAATCGACCTCAACTTTGCATATAGATAACATAATTTTGCAGATCGTTTGTCTGAATAGAAGTCCATAAAAATAAGAATAACAGTGTTTCTGTTATCACAT